CCTACAGTCCGACTTCGCCAGCCTACAGCCCGACTTCACCAGCCTACAGCCCGACGTCTCCAGCTTATAGCCCAACATCCCCAGCTTACAGCCCGACGTCTCCCGCATACTCGCCGACGTCGCCTGCATACAGTCCAACTTCACCTGCTTACAGCCCGACTTCCCCTGCGTATTCGCCAACGTCTCCGGCTTACAGCCCAACATCCCCAGCTTACAGTCCAACCAGTCCAGCTTATAGCCCCACTTCTCCGGCCTACACTCCAGCGTATTCGCCTACGTCTCCAGCGTACAGCCCGACATCACCGGCATATTCGCCTACGTCGCCCGCTTACTCGCCAACATCACCCGCGTATTCTCCTACTTCGCCAGCATATTCACCTACGTCCCCGGCGTATAGTCCGACGTCTCCCGCATATTCGCCAACTTCTCCAGCATATAGCCCGACTTCGCCCAGCTACAGTCCTGCCTCACCCGAGTATAACCCTACAGAGGGCGGCTACAATCCGACTGCAAGCGGCTACAGCCCCACAGATGCCGATGAGAAGGATGAAAATTAGGATGCGGGGGTGCGCATAACAGATAAAATAGCTGTGGCGATGAACGCGCATGTGTCTCTGATCCCGACTGGTTACGATGAAAAGCAGTGACAAGAACATCATTAAAGATTTTGTTAGCTCACTTCAGACTTTTTATAAAGCTAGTTGAATTTATTCACTCTAACTATTCGCTCAAAGCAATGACGACCATAAGGCCGATGCCTGAACACATGGCTCCTGCCTCTTTTAACGACTGGGCCAGCGAACAATCCTCCAGCAATTCCGGCATTACACTGGTGCATGCAATGTAAATAAATCCTCCTGCCGTGAAGGGTGAGATCCAGACAGAGCTTGAGTCTCCAGTGCCTTCCATTACAAGACCAATGACAGTGCCGACCATAGCTCCGCTGGCAGTCAGCAACTGCGTGGCCATAGCTTCACGTCGTGTAAAACCTGATTGAATAAGAATGGCGAAGTCACCGATCTCGTGTGGTAATTCATGCAGCAGCATCGCCACTGTCGTGGTCCAGCCAGAGCCGCGGAGGAACGTGGCACCGATAGCTAAACCGTCCGTGAAGTTATGTGAAAAGTCCGCCGCCAAATTGAGATAGCCTGCAGGTGCGATTGGCTTTTTACCAAGCTCCGTGGCTTCAATCACCTTCTCTTCGAAAACTTCTGCACATTCATCTTTAAGAATGCGCTTCCTCGCTGAGGGATTTTTGGTCGACACTGAGGATATCCCACCATCTTTCAGGGATACTGAAGCGTGAGAGTGTCCATGCGAGTGCCCATGCCCTCTAGTTTGCGCCCGAACAAATTTCTCCAGAAACAGAAATACCAAAATCCCAGCCAGCGTCCAAAGCCATACATAGAGGTCTGCAACGGAGTGGCTATGGCCCTCGTGGTTGTGATCATGACCGTCGTGACTGTGATCGTTATGTTCATTTGCATGTCCTGCAACCTTCGGAAGCGAATGAGGTAGTAGGTGCAGCAGTGCATCACCTAGTAATCCACCAGCAGCAAAGCTTAGAAAGATACGCAGCAGAGGCTGCTGTCTTTCTTGATTACCAACGCCCAGCGGCACCACAAGCAACACTAGCACGGGTGCAGCGCCCACTAAGGCCGTGGCGAGCAGTGCTTGACCCCAAACTAACGGCAAAAATCTTTCTGTAGCCTGCAAGGTCTTTTCGAGCTCATGATCGTGGCCATGATCGTGCTCATTATTGTGGTCATGAATGTGGCCGTCATCGTGATTTGCATCATGAATTTGGTCCAAGTCATGATCTTGAGCGTCTTGGTGGACTGCACTATTCTTTTCAAGGTGCTCCTGATAATGAGGTGGAGTGACCTCCTCAGCGACCGAAATAAGTGCAATGCTCAGCAGGGCTAAAATCCCGAAACAGACCTGCGCTCTTCTTCCCATTGTGTATAAATCAGCTTGGTAAATAAAGACAGTCAAAATGGATGCTACCTCTTTAAATGAATCTACTTCCTTTTTAAGAACACACGAATTTTAAACTCCTTAAGAAAATCTAATGAAGAATGCTTCTTTCATTGACAAAATTCGTCTAAGTAAATTCTATGTATTTTGAATTAAAACGTGTAAGTTCTTGACGATTACTAAACTATTCCGGATTGGTAAAAGTGCTTAGTTTGTCTCATCGCATGTGTTTTGCATTTTGCTGATGCGCTTTTTCTTGAGCCTGAGTGAAGGCCATAAATAGTCGACATCAACGAAATAAACCGAACACGAAAAATTATCTTTTTTTTCGGTAGCTTTTTGAGGCATTTTGTAAATTTGTGTCAATCAAGGTGAATTATTTGATCCTGTCCGGATGTGAATACTTCAACAATTAGGAAGTTCTTTCATTATGATGTTGCTAGCTCATTGGAGATTAGTATTGTTGTGGTCAATAAAGAATGACGAGTCATCGGTACAATAAGTTTGCCCTTAATATTACTATATATAATATACATGAGTAGAAAACTTAGATAATTGTTCGCTGGAACTTAGCGGTCTGTATGTACCCAGCACAATATGATGCACGTCATGTGTATTTGTGCTTCCTATGCAACCAGCTTGATGAAAACCTCAACTTGAGCAGGAAATTCAAGGCTGTACTTGTTGACGCAATCTGAGCGCACATTTCAAAACAGTAGTGTAATGATGTAGACTGCGTCATGGCTAATACTCGCTGACAAGACGATGTCACAATACCATAACGTGTTTCGCT